CCTGGAACAATGCTCTTTCGTGAAGCCTATTTCTCCAAGAAAGTGTCATTTTACTTATTTTTCATTTTTATCTTATACCATTAAAAACGCAATTTTATTTTTATTTAAATGTTTTTTATTTAACACAATTATTTTATTTTTAAAAAAGAATTATTTAATTTTATTTATTCACTTATTTTCATTTGACCGGAGAAAGACAGAGAGAGGGAAAGTGAGAAAGCAAGCCACTAGGTCTGGGACTTGAACCGCGGTCAGCCATGTGGGAGTGCCCAGCGCCTTAACCACCATGCCATCTGCTGGTCCCCTATAATTATTTTATTTTTTAAAGATGTATTATCAGAACCTTTTAACAAAAATAGAAGGGGTGTACAACATAATGATGTTCCTCATCGGAGATGATGAATACGGTAATATTCTTGACTTGGTTATCACATACTGCATATACGCTTTGACAAACCACGTTGTACAAAAAGTAAATGCAGATAAATTATAAAATAAATACTTTTTAAATACTTTATTTATTTCTCCCATGAGAGAGAGGCACAGAGGGAGACAGAGAGAGGAGGAGGAGAGGAAGACACTGCCAGCAGGGTCTCCGTGCTGTGGTCCACCCCAGTCCCACCGGTCTGGGTCACAGGCACACATGCGCATGCCTGGAGTATACAGGGACGTCCGGGGATGCAGACCAGGACCTTCGCGTGCGGGTCTCATCACATTATCGCTGCCCTACTGCCTGGCCCTAATATGCTATTAGAAATAAAACTTTCCCTTTCATCATTAGGGTGTCCCCTAAGGGTTCCCTTTCAGCACCAGCGACCAGTTTTGCAGAAGACAATCTTTCCATGGACCAGGGAGGGGTGGAGTGAGGGAAGCGTGCAAATGGGATCCGTGTGCACTGTTCACAGCAGGGATGCTGCTCCTACGAGGATCAATGCCATTGCCAGTCTGACTGGAGGCAGAGTGCAGGCGGTGACGGGAGTGATGGGCAGCTTCACTCCCTGCCCACCGCTCGCCTCCTGCTCAGTGGTCTGGTTTCTAACAGACCAGTATTAGGGACCCCTGCCCTCAGGGACATGAAAGCCATTGACCTTCGGATAAGATCCAAGCAAAATGGCATGGTGGTGTTAGAACGCAGCAGTTTTGGTGCAGGTACGACATGACTTGAAAGCACTGGAAGGTCATACATGCTCGAGGGCTCAGCCCGGGGCAAGCTGGCTGCTCTCAATGTGCTCCATGACAACGTCCAGGCAGCACCTCAACAGCGAGGTTCACCGGGGCAGCCTGAAGTCAGAAACAGGTCGTACCCATGCTCTCTGTCCATGGGAACCATGAGTGTCCCTGCTGTCTCCTCCCCCTGGGCTGGGAGGTGC